TACCGGAACGGAACCTAGCAAATCACTTTTGTGCTACACGTTCGTTTACAGTATCGGGCCCATAAACTAAATTAAAGTTTTCAGCCGCTTTGGCTGCTTTTTCGCTTTGATCGAACAAAAATTGTAAAATATAGCGAATTTTCTCTTTGTTGGTGTCCATCTTTGACGAGCGCTCACAACGAACTGAGTAAATTAATCGAAAAACTGTCAAAGACAAACTTTTAGCGCGAATAAACACGTTTTCAGTGCCGTATAGTATGACATGATGCGACACGTAACACTAGTACTATGGACAATAACGCCATCTCTTAGATAAAAACCGAACGAACTTTTTACTTGACCTAATATATAAAGAAATCTCAAACGAGTATACCGTTTGACTTTGCGATAGTATAAAATGTTCGATTTCATATGAACTTAACTCTTCCTTACTTGTTCTTATTTAAGTTTATTCCATTTATTGGCAAAACTGGCTGCTTTCAAGACACCCATATATGTACGAGTAGACTTCAGTCTACTTCTTCAGTGCGTTTCTGTTGAATTTATTTCACTTCAAGTTGTGCAGTGGAGAATGGAAATAAGACGGGATAAGCAGCAGCTGATGAGTTTGTGGGCTTAGCTCTAACTTCAGGCCAGTCGTATACATGGACATTTTATTTCATATTTCCTTTATGCTCTATGTTATTTATGTAGGCACGTATATACATATATACGTATGTGTACTGTTTATATTTACCGTACACCTTTTAACTGTTTGGAAGTATTTTTCAACTTCGGATTTCAATATTTTCTTTCTTGTTAATATTGGGTAATAAGCGGTGGCACAAAAGTACTCTGATTCTGTTCATTTACGCATTAGAAGTTATCGTGATCCTGTTCCTTTGTGATAGGCACGCTAAGAAGCTTAAAAAGCAGACGAGCAGGAGCGCAAAGCTAGATAAAATTAGACAGATGAGCACGATTTATTTTTCGTGTGTTCGCATAATACATGCACCTCATTGCACAGGAACGAAGAGGACTTACTCAACCGATGTGTATCTTGTCTGGTTTCTACCTATACGACACCACATCTGAATATGCAATTCTAAATATGCTCGCTGAAGGTGACACAATGACTAAAGTAAGTAAGACGAGTTATGCTAAGGAATGCCAGCTTCGACCTGCTTGCCCAATTCAATTACAGCTCGAAGTGTGAGCGTTTAGGGAGACAGTTAGAATGTACTTTGGGTATTTAGAACGTTTTGGGATTTCTCTAGCTCCCACATTTGACGCATGCATTCTTTCTACTTAAGGTAAAAGTAATGAAACACCTTTGATTTGCTCTGCTGCGTTAACAATTACAAAAAGTTGGACAATGGAGCAGAAAATAAGTAAAATGAGTGGAGCATTTATTACGTTATTATCTAATAGTTAGAGTTACAAGGGTTTGTATTTATCCTCCCTCTTTCCGAGCATGTTGGTAGACATGTGTGCGTGTGTTGAGTAAGTGCTTGGGAACATTATGTTTATTTTTACGAAGGCTTACTGTTGTTTATTGTTACTATCTAACACTGTTATTAGCATTATTAATTTTTTCCACACCCCACTGCGCTTGACAACTCACATCAGTTTTCTTTCGCCAATTTAAATATATGATAGAATTAAGAAGTTCATTGATGAAAGGAGATTTTATTAGCTGGGATTGAGGATAGCATCCCCCGAATTCGGGGTTAAAATGGGTAGGTACGGATAGAGGCAGTTCTTTAGATTAACAAAATATATACATTTAGTTGCCGCTGACTTATGATTTTTAAGCTATTTGCATTTAAACTTCAAAAATTTAACTATTTGAAGTGCGTGTTTCTTTGATTTATATATATCCACTAACACTTTGCTAATTCGTTTCTATACATTTGTTTTGTGTTAAATAAAGCAAAATTAACTTTAATTCAATATTTAACTTTGGTTAAAATCTATTTATTTATACAAAATCAAAATAGAGTTACTGTTTTTTGCAAACGATTAAAAATAAATAAAAAAGAAGAACGTCTATGCCGTCTATACAAAATTTATAACCGTGTGCTGAGTAACGCAAACTCTCACAGAATTTCCTTTTTGTTAGTTAATCCCGGCATTGGATCGACCATGGTTTTTTTTTGAACCGCGGCCAAAGACCGTCAACGCAATAAGGAGTTCTACGCAAAATAACTGAGGACACCCCTGTGTATGACTGACCAGGGCTATTTTTTTTAAAGCGCAGGCGAAGACCGCCAATGCTGAAAGGAATTCTACGCGGAAAACTAGTGACATGTTATTTATTTCCGGCCATTGGGATATTATCCGTTTTCTTTATTCCTTTTGGTTTCTTTGTAAAATATGTAGATAAGGTAACACTGAGTATTTGTTAGAATGCAACCCTTTTGTTATTGTGTGAATAAAAAAAATGGAACACAAGTTAAATATTGAATTAAAGTTATTTTTGCACTACTTACTATAAAATAAATGTGTGCAAACGAATTAGTGAAGTGTTAATAATTGTAAAAGTTAAAAATATATGTATAAAATTAATATAAATTTTGCAACTTTAAATACAAATATCTCAAAAACCGTAATTCAACGGCAACTATAAACGAGTATATAAATTTTCTTAATCTGAAAAATCACTTCTATACAACCCCGAATTCGGCGGATGCTATTCTAAAATTTTGTAATTTTATTCAATAGTTTTTCGTTTACCCAAAAAATAGTGATAATATTAATATACCAGTAAAAAAAAAATTCGTAATAAATTTCACAACGAGTAAAATTATATAAATAACGAGCTTTATAAACAGGCTTTCCTTTTGCCTGGTGTTAATAATAAAACTTATTTCAGGTAAGAAACAAATACAGACTCAAAATATCTGCACAATATTTGGTTTTGAAATTGTTTATTTCTTGTAAGTTTAATTAAAATATACAGCCATGATTAGGTTAGACCAGAAGTTGGTTGCATTCTGTTGCTCATGTTGCCGCAATGTTAGAATGTTGTGCTTCGTTGAGTTTTGTAAATGACGCTAGTGTTAAACATGTACATATAATACTTCTGTTTCTTCTTGCTGCTGAAGTTATGACAAAAGTTTCTAGGTCGATTATTGTCCATTCCCTTTTATGCTATGAATGTGTAACAATTAAGTTTCCTCTTATCCACTCGTAAGTCATCCTTCCACTGCCCATTGTCTTCCTGAATAACGAAATAAATGAAATAAGGCGAAAACTTTCAAAATTATTTTAAAACTACAACAATTGGGCAAATACAATTTTAAAAGTAAAGCTAATTTAGTTATTTCTAAAAATGGATGATTTATTTGAAAATATATGGAAAGGAAGGAACAAAAACAAATCACAAACTGAATTGGCTTTATTTTATTTTAATTTTCGCAAAACCATATAATATTTTTAACCTTACAAACCATTAAACACACATAAATTAATCATATACATACATATTGTGCGTAACAAAATCGAATCGACGATAAATTGCCAGATTCAACTAATCAGCGAACTCGTAGTTACCAGAATGTTCTAGAGGCGAAGTTTTGTTAAAGATCTACTATAAAAGGGCTGCCAGATTGTGCAGCAGACACAGTTCTAGTCAGAGTGTTGCCGTGTAAAGCGAAATTGAGATATAAGTAAGAAGTTCGGATAAAGAGTAGTAAAGCGTTTATTTATCAGAATTAGAATCAGTATATTTGTGTACAAATGTTTTACGCCAATAATCAACACAACAGCTGAGTTTTACGTGCTTATACTATATACATACATACATACACAAACTGGTCCTAAAGGGCAATTTAAATTTTTTCAAACAAGAGTTGTCAATAATGGATCATGTATACAAACGCACATTGCCCACAACATGGAAAAAAACCCCATTCAACAAGGCGCTGAGCCTTTAAGTTTTGTTAACATGACAAAACCTTCTAATTATCATATTTTTATTTCCCGCTTTTTTAATGCTTTCTGAACTACAGCAACTGCAACTCGTCCTCAGCCAGCAACCTGGACTCGGTGCGAGACCAATGTTGGCCGAGCATTTGCATTTTTATACTCTCGCAACATGTTGCTACAGTTTTGTTCACCTAACGGTTATTTGTATCACCTAAAACTAATCGAGTTAGATATAGGGTTATATATTATATATATAAAAGATCAGGATGAAGAGTCGAGTTGAAGTCGGTGTGACTGTCTGTCCGTCCGTCTGTGTAAGCTGTAACTTGAGTGAAAATTGAGATATCTCCTAACGGTTGTTTGTATCACCTAAAACTAATCGAGTTAGATATGGGGTTATGTATATATAAATGATCAGGATGAAGAGACGAGTTGAAGTCGGTGTGACTGTCTGTCCGTCCGTCTGTGTACGCTTTAACTTGAGTGAAAATTGAGATATCTTTATGAAACTTGTTACACATGTTTCTTGGTACCGTAAGATGGTTTCCTGCTGCCACGCCCACAAAACGCCTATAATCAAAAACAAATAAATTGCCATAACTAAGCTCCACAATAAGATACAAGACTGTTATTTGGTACACAGGATCACATTAGAAAGGGGCATATGCAGTTTAAATTTTTTTTCAAGTGGGCGTTGTCCTGCTTCCTAAAAGGTTTAATGTGCGTATCTCCTAAACAGCTAAAGCTATAACACCAAAATTCGCTAAGAACAAATGTGTTTAGCACCTCTAACGACAGTGTGAAAATGGATCGGTTGATAACCCAGAGCACTCCCCATATAACGGTACTGTTAAAAACTACCAAAAGCACGAATAATCCAACAAATAGCACACCAGAGACCTTAAATTTTTCTCTGGTATGAGATGACTTTAAAGGAACCGCGTTCAAAATTAGACAGTGGGCGTGGCACCCCCACTTTAAGTGTAAACCCATATCTTGGGACCTGCTTTACCGATTTCAACCAAATTCGGTACAAAACATTCCTCTCATATTTCTATGTTATAGTGAGTTGAAATCACGCCTATTTCCCATATAACACCATTTTAAATTCCATCTGATTTTTTCACTTTCCACTATGCATAACAAGCAACAACTTTGCGTGAATAATGCGTTTAAAGTATACTACCATGTGACCAAAAATTTTCTAAATCGAATCAAAACTGTTCAAGCCCCTAGGTAGTGAATATGATGACCCTATTGCCTATAATTGACTTTTTACCGAAAATATCGGTCAATGTGTATGATATATAATAAAATAGTGTGATAATAGTGTGTTTTTGTGTCAAAAATGGGTTGAATCGGAACAATACTTCCTTTAATACAAAATTTTGCCAACACGAGAGTATAAAATGTTCGGTTATACCCGAACTTAAACTTTCTTCCTTTTTACTATTATAATGTTGTTCTCGTCAGTGTTGGTTTTGTGCTAGCACCGCCGCTGATGCTCATAACATTGCGGCTTAAACGTTGACAATTAACAAACTAAAGGTCATTTCATTATGGAACTTTTGTAATTAATATGGTGTAAAAAGTAAGATCGCCGCGACAGCCAATAGTGGAAGGCACGATAAGAATAAAATAAATGCAAACATATAAAAAAAGAGAGAAATTGACTAAGCAGGCAAAAAGCTGATGAGTTGATAAACAATGACAAGGGCAAAACTATAATGGCCATTAAATGCAAAAAGTGATGGCTTATAACATAATAGCAAATATTTAAATTGGATAATAATCTGGGGGAAAGAAATGACTTAATTACAACAATCGACGTTTACAATTCAGATATATTATTAACGCTCATAGAAGTAGCAATAAAAAGTTGAATAACTCCCCATGTTAAATTGACTATAAATACTGATATTAAAATAAAGTATTTAAGACTTGTCTTGGTCTAAAGTTTACAGTGCAAGGCCCGTCGAATACCCTGCAGAAATTTGAGAGTCTTAAATAATCCTTTGTTAAAGCAGCGTCGCCAATACCAATAGAAAGTGTGCGTGCTGTAAAAGTAAAGTGTCGTGTAAAAGCAAAACGTGCTCATATAAAATAAACTTTTGTACATCGCTCACTTATAATATGCATTATTAAATAAAATTAATTTCATCACAAAATAAATTATAATTTAACTTTTATAAGGGCCTGAACTTGTAACAAAACTTATAACCGGTCTAAGTATACTTAACAAGCAACCACAATACTGATTGCTCTCGAAATATATAATAATATACTTACATAAAGATCAGGATGAAGAGGCGAGTTGAAATCCGAGTGTCTGTCTGTCCGTCCATATATCTATGCAAGCTATAATTTGAGTCAAAGGGTGAAGACAAGTTCGTAGATGAGCATAATCGGACTACTGCCACGCCCACAAAACGCCATAAAATGAAAACCTATAAAGTTCCATAACTCAACATTAGATTCATCATTAGCTATAAAACTTTAATTTGGCACAGGGGAGCACAGTAGCAAGGGGTACCTGTGGCCTAAGAATTTGGATAAATGGGCGTGGCCCCGCTTTCTAAGAAGTTTAATGTATACTATATCTCCTAAACCACTTCAGACACAGTAATTAAACTCGCACAGGATAAACCCATTCAGCACCCCTACCGACACTGTAAAATTTAATGAAATCAGATAATAACCCCGCACACTTCCCATATAACAGTTCTGTTAAAAACGTCAGAAACATAAAATTTTACATCCTAGATCATAGGAGAGGGCTTAACAGGAGCCGGATGTGGCACCGCCCACAGTTAGGAGAAAACTGATATCTCAAGATCTGATCGACCGATTTGCAATACGAAAATTGGCGAAATGGGACTACAACCACGCCTACTTCTCATATAACACAATTAGTTAAATTAAATTCCATCTGAATTTTCACTTTCCACTATACAAATTAAGCACCAATGAATGTATCAAGATACAACTTTACACGAATACTGCCTTAGAAGTGTGCAGCTTACGACCAAAAATTATCCAAATCGAACCAAAACTGTTCAAGCCTCCGGGTACCGAATATGTGAACCATTGTTTCTATTGTGAACTTTTTATCGATCAATTTGTGAGATATATTATAAAAACTCATAGAAAATATTTTTCTGATATTAATATGCCCTTCAATAATTCCCTTAGCCCTCATATACCTAATAGAAAATTTTTTCGAACGACTGGCTGACTTTACAAATTTAAAGAGTGTGTTTTCCCAATATCAGGATTTTAAAACTAATATCAGGATTTTAAAACTTCCGGTTGACTTCATTCCGCATATACTTATTTTTGGTATGTGAGGTACCTTAATGAAAGTCAGAGCTCAGATTTTTCTGTTAATAATATTTGGCAATGCCGAAACTAGATAAAGTGGTTCAATACTACCTCTACCTCTCATATACCTAATATAAAATTCTCAAACTTCCGGTTGGCTTTATACCGTATAGACGGTCAATATGTAAGATATCTTAGCAAAATTAACTAAACGTGTTATATTAAATATGTTATACTATAGTTTAATGCCGAAAATATATGATATTGAGTATGAATTACCCAAATCCCCATATACTACATATAACGATTTTCGTTATTCTAACAAACCCTATACTGAATATGTCGGTCAGTGTTACATATTTATAAAATTGCTTCAAAATATGCTCCTGAATATACCTGAGTAATGTCAAAAGTTAGTGAAATCAGCGCAGATCTTTACTGCCACCAATATACACTATATAATGATTTCCGACTTCCTGTCTATCTTTAAACCGTTTAGGTTGGTCAAAATGTGTGATATTTTAATAAGTTTTTAGCGCTCTATATTTAGAGCTCTATTTAGTTTAGCGCTAAATACGTATGGAATTGGTTTAGACCTTGGTCCTAACCTCATATCCTTAATATAATCAATTCCGGTCCCCTTGTTGACATTTCATCACATCAACTCATTATATTAATTTTAGCCGTTTCGGTTTATGTCAGATATATCTTATATGAAGAAGATTTTATCTAATTTTTGCTGACGTGAAGGAAAATATATTTATAAAACTTAGTGAATCTATGATCAATAATATTAGTTCACAAAATACAAATTTGATTGGAATACATTCACGATTTCGTCGAACAATGAATCTTGAATTTTTTGCAATATTTTTTGAAAAAAAAAAAAATTTGCCGACACTTACTTCCCCGGTTTTGATCCTTGCTAGTATGAAATGTTCGGCTACACCCGAATTTAACCCATCCCTTGTTACATATATTTTAACTGCTTCATTCCAAAAAACGCTTGAGTTAATTACAATTTTTTAAATAAATTGTACTCAAATATTGTATTAAAAAAAATTTAAACCATATTGGCAGAAAAACGAATGCAACATAAAACCAAATATCTCACAAAATTACTTAAGAATATATAATTATATTTCCCCTAGACAGCTGTTTTGTCATTCTATTTAGAGTCTAACCAGATCCCTTACTCCATACATAATCTGAATAATCTTGACTATTGCTGTCACCAACCTCACCACTTATGTTATATGGCAGTAGGTATTTCTCTAAAACTTTTTCTTTTTTTATTACTGACGTAAATATGTATGTGGCACATAGCTTAAAATTATGTAATTTTTTAACTAAAATAAGCATCCAATGCATTGTATATATTTTTATAATTACTCCATTATTTAAGCGCTTTTCATATTTTGGGTGAGACTTCAAAATACGTGTTGTCGGTACTTTTTTAAACGAAATTTATACGGAAATGCGATCACTTCACGCAACGCGTTTACAATACCTTAATATTTGGTCACAAGCTTTTAAAATTTTTCAATTTAACGGTAAAATGCGAGGATTGATATTGGTGTCCACAATTTAGGTCAGTTTTTATAAAATTTTGTTTTAATTTACAATATTGAATTTGCTAGTAAATGTAGACTAAATAAAAAATTAGATGTAAAAAACAATTTCGTTAGTGACAATAAATGAAAAAAAAACATTTTTGTTCCTGCCACATTTTTAATTTATCATAGGTATATATTGTGATTATTGTATATAATTTTGCTTTTTGTAATCTTTGGACTTTCCATAAAAGACATTATTCTTAATAATCATAACCTGCTCATATTACATTTCATCTGAGTTTAAGTCATAAATTTCCAAAATGAAAGATATAAAGCGTATATTATAATAAATGGTAAACAATAAGAAAGTTCTCGCGGTATCTATAAGAATTTTGGGGTAAGTTCACCATCGTTGGGGTATCTTTCGAACCATCGCCTGTCTCTTACGATAGTTTTATTGAAATATACCTCAGCTCAAGTCCAGATTTAATACGTCTCACCTTCCCTTGTATAGCTACACAAATTTCAGTGATCCTGTTGTACATGACTCAAGCATTGTTAAGAATACCCTCTATGGTGAATATGAGGATTTCTGTTTCATATATCTTTTTTATGAAATTTAATGGGCGAGTTTTACTTGTACTAAAGGCACTGTAAATTAGTGCCTAATATATTTCAGAGCACAAATAAATGGCGCTGGATTCGTAAGCCTTTAAAATATTAGTAAGCCTATAAAAATGTTACAGGATGTAATCTCAAATGAATTATATTTGTAACACCAACCAAAATACATCCATATTAGCGTGGGTCAAAATAACGAATGCTTTTTTTCGCCTGGTACTCTGAAAATTTGGTTAATAAACACCTCTAAGGAAGGCTCTCCAAGTATGAGCTCTTAATTATAACGGGCAGGACCTCCGCCTAACTGTTTTCTATTTTTTACTTATTATCAGATAGAATAATTCATATCTCGCTTTCAACTACTTGAATTTTGTAACTCAACGAAAAATCATCATTGTAAATCGCAAAGCTCATATTCTTATAGGAAATTTTCTGCTCTACAAAAATGGTCTGCATAATTTTTCGATTAAGTTAAGCGTTTACGAGATTGCCAAACGTCAATGCATATTAAATAAAAACAAAAAAGATGGAAACAGAAACCAATTTTGTAGAGTTGTAAATTTCCTACAAAACCATGACCTTTGCGATTCAAAATAATGTTTCTTAATGGAGTTATAAAATTCAAAAGAACAAAACAAATTTGCTTTAAAATAGCCAAACTTTTACCGTTAATATATTTTAAACGGTTATGTTTACGAAAAACCCGTAAATACTATTTTTTAGAGCATTCAATTTGATACAAATTCTATGAAACGAGATATTTTTTCAAGTAGTTGGAAGCGATATATGAATTATTCTATCTGATAATAAGAAAAAAAATGAATTGATAGGTGAAGAACCTGCCCATTACAATAAGATCTCATATTTGGAGAGCCTTTCTGAGAGGTGTCTGTCAATCATTTTTTCGGAGCACGCAGCGAAAAAAGAAACATTTGTTTTTTACATATGCATTGCATTTAAATTGGAACAAATTTCAATTTCGTTAAGGTGTAATGCCTGTTAAGCGGATGCGAAGCTTAACAATTACAGTAGCACCCATGCAAACAAATATGAGTGATGACGATTAGCAGACTTAGTCAAGTCGAATATCTGAGTGAACTTTTGTCATGAAGAGTAGTGTTGGGCAAGATAAAATTTGTTAAACATCTACCAGTCATATGCATATATATAGAATAACATCAAAAAATATAAAAACTTTAAACAGCTTCTTAAATAAACTATAATTATTAGCAGTTAGTTTATAACATTCCAAAAACCTCCATTAAACGAAATATGACTTGCCAATTTCTATTACGACTTGTTTGCAACTTTATCTTTTATTTAAAACCTACCATGCTATTACTGCCGTTAACCAAACGTTGCTGAACATACGTCATATTGTCTTTATGGTTGCATTCAACTTAACTAAAATAAAAAAATTTGGAATTACAAAAGCAACAACAAAGCGCTTGCCAAGATGGCACTTAATAAAAACTTAAAATTCAAAATGTTTCCACTATCAAATTACATGATTTCTACAATGAGTACGTAAAATTTTGTGCTTTACTTGTAACTTGCTACACTTAGTGCAACTGCCGAAAGAAAGTTAAAACCGAGTTATTAAAAAAAAACTCTGACATAGAAGCAATGGAATTTTCTGTGCTAACACTCCTACATACACTTGTACATACGTACATACTAATAATGGAATGGAATGGAAAGCATGGTTGCCGCCAACATTTCGTTACACACAACAGCGCAAGTCACCAGAGGCGTCATGCATTCGACCAGAGAGGCACTCGCAACGGAACTCGCGTTCCAAGCGTCTCTGTTCAGCATGTACCCTCAGCTAAATCCAACTTATCTACACGATATACACCGCCAAACGTTTTTATATGGTAACATATATACTTGTATGTAAGTAAGTGGTTATCACCATACCGTTTACATCAAAAAGAACTATCTCAACCGAATGTACCGCAAAAAATGTGCACCTTCGCAGTCAAAAGAAGAACAGAATCATTAAATTTTCGTCGTTTACAACACTTTTACGAATGTAACGCAGCTGACAAGAACAAGTACAACTTTCGTTGAGTTTTCCGTGAGTACTTGCCGGTGACGGCCTAACCGCACGTTGCTCAAAAGCACAACGGATCAATACAATACGTCGATCAGCGCCCCAAATAACACATGAAATTAAAGCACTCCGAATCTCCTCAAAGGGCCAAAGCCAATGAGCAGATCGGACCGAAATCCAAGGACTTTCTGTACCTTGTAGCCGAAGCTACTGCCAGTTGAGTACCCCTCAAACTCAATGACTGATAACATTTGTTACTTCAACTTCTAATGTCTTAAGTTTAAGCTGAGTATTATAGCACTATTTCTGACATAAATATGTTGATATTTCTTGGCAAAGCTGAAAAACAGACACAGTGCATATGGATTTTAGTCGCTTCTCACGACAGGCATGACGTACCGCAGGCAAATTTTAACCCCTGCCCCCGGGGGGGGAAAAGTACGAGTACAGTACAAGGGCTTAAAAAAACGCTACAAATAATTCTTTGCATTTCTCTTTCTTGCTCGCACACAAATGGGCATAATTGCACCACTGCCACACCCACAAAACGTCATTAAACGAAAATCTCTAAAGTGCCATAACTAAGCACTTAATTAAGATAGAGAACTGTATTTTGGCACAGGAGATCGCAGTAGTAAGCAATTTGCTCAGGACATTAAATTTAACACTCGAGATCACACGAAAAGGCTCTATAGGAGTAGGTGTCAAAATAAGTCGATGGGTGTGGCACCGCCCACATTTAGGTGAAATCCCATATCTCAGGACCTGCTCGACCGATATCGACCAAATTTGGATGGTTTACTAATAACAATGTATGTTTGTGCCTTAACTGGATAAGTGCGGGGAAAACTTTCTATAGCCCCTATATAACTAATATCACGCTTTCCGAACATGCGGCTGACCTTACTCGATATACGTATGTATGTATATACTTTTACCTAATTAATGAAACTCAGGGAGCATATTATTAGTATGTGGCATTCAGCAAATAATGCTGACGGGAAACTAATCAGTAATTAAAAAAAAAACATAGTAAAATAATAATAAAATCAGTATTACGTAAAACATATTTAGAAGCAGTACGATCAAGTGATCAACATATCTGAAACAAAGTAAAAAAAATATTATCAAATTTTTAAAGTAATTTGCAAAAAAAGAATCGTATGGGTTTATACTTGCTCAATATTTAGTTGGGTACCCATTTTGGGAAATTACAGCTGTACAGCTGGGCAGGCGAGTTCAGCAATAGAATTGCTTGGTCTTGTAAGTCTTTCAAAAACGGTACGAGATAATTTTCAACCAAGTTCTGGTATGACACAGAGTCTAGCTTGCCCGTTATCGGGTCCAATTCTTTATTTAGGGAGCGCCCCAAAAAAGTTCTCCCATCAGACCCGTGTAACTTGAATTTAGGGTCGTCGCTCCAAACTACAAAATTTCTGAGGGAACGAGGGGAATGGAATCTGACAAGTTCCAATCGTGCCTTTCGATTATTGTGTGAAACTTTTGGCATTTTTAAACTTTGGCATACGTGAAGGTTGTTTTCCAAAAACCGCTGTCTAACAGTCCTGCTGGCAATGTTTACGCCATATTCTTCTTGCATTGCAGCTCGTACTCGTGAGGAAGTTGCAAGCGGATCTTGAAGCACCTGGCGAACAATGAGGGCTTCTAGATCTATTTTTATTTGCAAATGTTTTATTCTCACGATAATATCTGAAAGCGTTTTGAATTTTTTTCCGAACATTTTTTTGCCGTCCTGGAACATGTTCCCTATTAGGCGCATTCCTTTTTACTAGAGCAACGTCCTATTTCAAATATTTCACACAAATGTATTTACTTACCGCTAATCTCGGAGAAAATCACAAACTTTAACGCAAACGAATTACGAGAACCTTATCAAGGTGTCAGGGTGTGCAAATTAAAATGCCAGTTTCAATTAAAAGTCTTCATGAGATAAAGGCTTACTTCTTTAAAACCAACCGCAATATATTAAATTTAGCCTTTTTAGTTGAGTTTATATCACATATTTGTCATTTAAAGATGATTTTAATATAATTTTCGTTGAAGCGATTAAAATATATTAACAAAACTAAGTGAATACATGGCCTTCAATATACAAGTATGTTAATAAGATACCAAATTTGATTGTTCTCCATTCACTATTTCGTCGAATAATGAATGTTGAATTCTTTCGGAACATTTTTATACCCTTGCAACATTTTGCTACAGAGTGTAATAGTTTTGTTCACCTAACGATTGCACGTATCACCTAAAACTAGGGTTATGTCTATATAAATGATCAGGATGACGAGACGAGTTCCAATCCGAATGTCTGTCTGTCCCTGCAAGCTGTAACTTCAGTAAATATTGTGATATCGTAATGAAACTTTGTACACGTGTTCCTTTGGAACCATAAGAAGTTTAGTGTTGCAGATAGGCGTAATCGAACCACTGCCACACCCACAAAGC